TTCCATTTTGCCAGGTTAAAGTACACTTCTGCATTTCATGTCTGTATCTTGTGTCTGCAGGGAAGGCTACAATACATGGAGGGATGCCAGCAAACCTTCTCAGGTGCTGGCCAACCTGTGTCAACGCAGTGGCCTCCCTGTCCCTGAGTACCGCCCTGGGGAGGTCAAAGTGGGCAGTAAACTCTTCCAGGTACCCCCGGAGGCCCCCTCTGCAGGTAACATATGCACCCACCCGGACTGGGGAGGGAGGTGGCAGAAGTCTACTTGTGGGGTCTATTTTATTCCTATCCATCATGGGCCAGGTGGGAGGGGCCAAGAGGCCAGCACCAAAGCCTGTGAGGAGGAGCAAGCCCTGTCCGTATTGCTAAGATGGAGGAGATGCCCCAACATGGCCGTTCACTAGTGCCTGAACATGTGGAGACCCGGCCCCTATACCATCCCAGCAGTCCGGGTCTGCTGCAGGTGAGAAGCTTCCCCTTCCCACGCCGCTTGGCATATGCAGTATGACTTCTTTCCTTCTCATGCTTCGAGTACCAGCTTGGAGGAAGAGTCGGAGGAGCTCAACCCTGACTTCTGACCCCACCCTAGGGTTTCTTGCATATGTGGGTAGACATTTTCCCCAAGGACGTGCCGGCCCCACCCGCTGTGGACATCAAGCCAAGACAACCAATCAGGTAAAGGAAAGAACCTTAGCCCCCGTACACACAACCCGCCCAATGATGAGGGTTTTAGGGTTTCTCTCCTTGGCCCTTCCCCTAATCCTTCCCTACAATTTGGCTCCCCAGTATCTGACCTCCCCATCTCTCCCGAGGCTTTGGAGTTGGATTTGAGTCTTTACTGATGCACACTACCCATAGACAAAGTATGCCTGGACAAAAGGCATTTAACCTCTCTGCTCCTCAGTATTCCCATCTGGAAAATAAGGGGGTTGGATCCGGTGATCTCTGAGGTCCCTTCCAGCCCTAGTGCTATGATCTCATGATCCCATCTGACATAAACAGCAACAGAAAGAAGAGACAGAAATAGAGAGACACACATATGGAGAGAAAGAATTTAACAAACTCATCACTTAATAAGGCAGTAGAGGGAACACAAAATTTAGAGAAGATAGGGCCTCTGACGTTATGAAGCTCTTAGAGATAGAAATATAGATGGGAAAACAGGCAGAGAGACTGAAGGAGAGATAATGTAGCTGTTGACCTGTAACTATGGTAATGCCTCCTGGGCAGATGGAATCCTAGATGACTTCATAAGCCCCAAACTCCCGTTTTTATTGGGGAGAGTAATTAAGGTGGAGGGAGCTGGGGACAAGACCAGGTCAGATTTTGACCAGTGTGGCATTGCCTTCTATCAGTTCCCCACACAGGAGAGAGCCCAGGCACACAGCAATCCCTAGACCTAACTCACCTAGACTAGGTTCACCCGGAGACACAGTGAAGCGGGTTTGGGGAGCTGGGTGTGTTGGATAGGAGATATGAGGCAGAGTGGGAGGAGGGCAGAGCACCAACAATGATGCTTCTGTGGGAGTAAGGCTGACCTCTTAATCTCATGGAAGGGATGCTTCCTTCAACCCTCTTCCCTCACACACAGCTACGAGCTCCGAGTTATCATCTGGAATACTGAGGATGTAGTCCTGGATGATGTGAATCCCCTCACTGGGGAAATGTCCAGCGACATCTATGTGAAGAGGTGGGGGACCCCAAGGCAGTGCAGACTAAGGGTGGGGGAAGCCAGAGCCCAGGGCCAGAGTGGGCTGGGGGAGGCATGCTTTGATGCCCTGAGCCCGAGGAGCTGACTGGGGCCTGTGAAAATGTTATGTCCTCATGCCCTTCCCTGTCCGCCATTCCCTATCCCCCAGCTGGGTGAAGGGTTTGGAATCTGACAAGCAGGAGACAGATGTCCACTTCAACTCGCTGACGGGGGAGGGGAACTTTAATTGGCGATTCGTGTTCCGCTTTGACTACCTGCCCACCGAGCAGGAGGTGAGCGTCAAAAGAAAACCTAGCCCCTTTGCCCTGGAGGAGACCGAGTTCCGACAGCCTGCGGTGCTGGTCCTGCAGGTCTGGGATTATGACCGGATCTCTGCCAACGACTTTCTGGGTATCAGCCTTGACTTTTAACCATTTGTCTCCCCTGAACCTCACATCCCCAACCCAACCCTTGATCCTGTGGCCCCCAATTCTCCTTGCCTTGGATCTGACTTCATGTCAGTTAGCTCTATTATCAAGAAAACTTCATTAACAGTAGGGTCCTTGGGGTCTCAAAGAGTCAGACATGACTGAACAACTCGTTAGCTTTGACCTTGATCCTACCAGCTTTTGAGCTGATCATGACTTCTGAGTCCTGACTGACCCAAGCTTCGTTGCCATCCCCAGGGTCCCTGGAGCTACAACTGCCAAACATGGTAAGGGGTGCACGAGAGTCAAACCTGTGCACCATTCGCCAGGCACATGACAGGGCCAGCCCCCGCTGCAATCTCTTCCGCTCACGGCGTATGCGTGGATGGTGGCCATTTGTGAAGCTACGTGAGCCTGAGGACCTGGAACGTGAGAAACATGAGGCTGAGAGCAGTGGGAAAAAGAGGAAGAAGAAAAGGAGGAAGGTGAAGCCAGAGGATGTGGAGTTCACTGACTCCGGTGGAAACGTCTACATCCTAACGGTGTGTGGGTGGTGGTGGCTGGGGGGGCAGGACATGGGCAGAGAGCTCAGAAGATGGGGGGGATAGGAAGTGGTCCCTGCAGAAGCTCGTTCATCCTCTTTCTACCCTATGTGCCACCTAGGGGAAGGTGGAAGCTGAGTTCGAACTGCTGACTGTGGAGGAAGCTGAGAAACATCCTGTGGGAAAAGGGAGGAAGGAGCCTGAGGCCCTAGAGAAGCCCAAGTGAGTATGGTTAGGCTGGGAAAAGTTTGGGTTCTTTGATCTGGTGGAAACACTGGAAGGAAGATAGATACTTGGGGGAGCAATCTGGAGGTGGACCAAGGCTTCAACTCATACTGCTGTCCTCTCTCCCCAGCCGCCCTAAAACCTCCTTCAACTGGTTTGTGAATCCACTGAAAACCTTTGTCTTCTTTATATGGCGCCGATACTGGCATATCCTCGTGCTACTGCTGCTCCTTGCCCTTATCACCATCTTCCTTCTCCTAGTCTTCTACACCATTCCTGGTCAGATTAGCAAGGCCATCTTCCACCCCCTCCACTGATTCCCCAGCCACATCCTTAAGTTGTTGGGTTTTTTTTAAACCCAAGCAAAAAATTATGCTGGCTCAGTCATCACAACGACAAAATTTGTTATAGAATAAAACTTATCAGCTAAATCTCATGGATTGTAGAGAGCACCTTAAATTTTTGTGCTGCAGGCTTGCATAGAAAGTATTTCTGCAAATAGGTTTAATTACAATTGGTCACCAAATGAGGCATTTGTGGGCTCAGCTTCAGAGAGAAGACGATCTCTGAGAACCAAGAGGGTGCTCTAAAGCCACTCCAAAAAGTCCTAGTGAGTGTGCTGAGGGAGGACCGAGGCAGCATTTGTGAAGCCATGCTAGCCCAGTCTTTCAGCTGCCAGACTATGGATTCCAGGCCCTCAGAACGGGTCATTTCTGTCCTTCAGATTCTGTCTTGTCTTACTTTCTCTTAGTTATCAAAGTCTGGTGCGCCTGGGACAGGCCTGAGGGAGGAAAAAGCCCTGTAGACACTGTAGTGTGCCAGGTGCAGCCAACTCACAAATCCACGTCTCACGTGTAGCTTCCCGTTGGGAGGTCCCCTTTCACTTCCCTTTGGGATGCTGCACTGGAGGATTTTGAAGAAACGGGGTGGCAGGGAGCACTAGGCTGAATTCTAGGGAGCTGAGAGAGAAGTTAGACCACCTCTACAGGGAGACCACGCCCCCACCACTGTTCCTGGTCTGAGGGGTAGAAGAGGTATTTGCAGAATTTAGAGATTTGGTTCTCCTGCAATGAGGGACATAGGTCACAGCTAAAGTGGAGATTAGATACCTAACATAATGAGTACACATACTCTGGGAACTAAAACCAATCCTTTTAATCTTGGGCCCAGAAGGGATTTGGAGGAGGAAAAGGGGAGGGATGCTCCAGGTTACGCATATATCCAAGTCCCTGAAATGTGTGTTTTGGGGTGGGAAGAGACATGTCTGACATCCCACCTGCCAGTATCCACCCTCATTCCAGGTAACTAAAAAGAGGAGATTGTCTATTTCTACAGGCAATTCTTTTTTAGCTACACAAAGGAAAAAGAAAGAGGAAAAAATAGTTCACAAGACAACAGAAAAATTTTTTAAAATTATTTCTATTTTGTTTTGAAATACAATTTGGTGCCTGATATTTGGGAAATTACTTTTCAACCAAACAATCTGAAGTCCTTATCTTTAAGGCAACTGTAGCCGCAGGAAGGTCTGCAAAGTTGTCCCACTTTGCTTATGCTCATCAATCCCCTTGTTCCTCATTCACTCTGTGCTGGGAATAGACAGCATCACCTCTCAGGTGTATACACAGCAGCAACCTTTGCAATGTCTTTCTTTTGTCTGTTTCATACTTTTCTCTGGGAAAGTTTGATTTCCCAGCTCTCTTGGGAAGTGGGCTGTATGCAGGTGAATGGAAATCCTGGAGAAGTCAGTGAAAGGCTAAGTTAGGGTGACAATGTCTGCACTGTGACTAAGGCACAGAGGGAACCCAACTGACATTAGGGATAGCTGGAAGTTCCAATCCTTCCTCTCATCCAAGAGAAGCCATGGGATTTGTGAATTTTCCCTTCACTCTCCCTTCTCCTCAGCTTCCATCCCACTCTGAGGCAGAACGCAAGAGGGGAAAGGGGTTTGAAGCCCAGGCCAGAAGCCTGGAGCTTTTCACTTCCTTGGCTTCCCTGTGCTTCTCATCCCATGACTACCCCAACGGAAGAGTTAGGGCAAACATTTCCTGGGGGGAGGGGCTATCCCCTTCAATCCCCCTAATACAGGTTGTGAACAAGGGTGAAAGGATCCTATTTCTTGCTAATGCCCATACTGGCAGCTGGTTTCAGCCACTCTTCCAAGCTCAGTTCCTCTCCCAGCCTCTGGAAGGAGCCAGGTAGGGCCAGGCAGGGGTGAAATTTGGGATACCAGCATCTCTGGGAAGGGGTTCACATTGCTCTGACCTCTGGCAGGTGATTCCAGTATACAGAAGAGCTGGGTTATGTGGGAATATAAAAGGAAAGACCAGGAGGGAACCTCCTTTGAGACACAGGACCAGCAGGGGAGTTGAGGCAAAGAATTATTGAGGTGGGGGGGAAGATACACTTAGACTTCAATACCATCACAACACACAATTTTACCAACTCTTGGGGGGGCAGGGTCAGGAGGGCAGAACAAGTCTTATAGTTTAAGGACAGCATTCACGATGGGGAGGGCCTGGGCCACAACTAGGAATTCACACACTGGGAGACCAAGGGCCCCGAGTAAGATACGGCTGGGGTCATGCAGCTCCTGTGATTATGTTGCCTTTCCTAATTCGATTTTCTTCTGGATGGCTCGGGCAGAGTGGTAGATCAGGGAGTCAATGAGTCCAGCGACTGGGGAAGAGGTCAAATCCATTACTAGAAGGCAGTCCAGTCCAAACTGTGCTTGTCCCTTCCACAATCATGAAGACTCAAGGGCCATGTTCCAACTCTCCCTCCTCCACATGCCCCCTCCTCAGATCTAGGGACAAACATCTCAAGTCTAGGCTGGGAGGAGCTGTTGCGCTCCTTAGAAAGCCAGACTCACCTGTGAACATGCCTCCAATGATGGCACAGACACCAGTGAGGAAGTGTGTGAAGGACCTAGAAGGAGGAGTAACCAGTGTGGGCTGCTCAAAGGAATGGGAGAGAGGACCAACTGTGGCCCATGCACCCTCCCCTCCCCTTCCTCACCTGTGTTTCTCTGTCAGTTTGACCATCATGGGCGACAGCTCATACAGCACGAAGACTCCAGGAAGCCCCTGGTCCCCAATCAGCCCATTGGCAACTTTCTCATGTCTTGTCACAGAGAACTGATTTGTCCTCAGCACCTGGGGATGGGGGGAGAGGAGAGGAGCAGTGGCAAGGAGTAGAATTGGCAGGGATATGTCTAGCTCAACTCGGTGGTCAGTCAGTCAGTCAACTAGCATTTATTAAGAGCCTATTATGTACCAGGTACTGTGCTAAGTGCTGAGGGTACAAAGAAAGGAAAAAAAAACCAACTAGTCCCTGCTCTCAAGAAACTCACAGTCTAATGGTCCAGAAGACACCTTCTAATAGGCAGATGGAGCCCAGGGCAGGTGGGGGAAGCAGTCAGGTTGTAGAGTGGGGGACTGGGGAGTCTGACTTACCTCCCCATTCACTTTCATGTATACTGTGGGCACCACCTTCACAAAGTACTGGAACATCATAGAGGCTGTGAGAAGAAGGGAGTAGTAAGCTCAAGAGCAGGGCAGCAACTGAGACAAGCCTGCTGACCGTACCCATATGAACATTTTTAGCCCATCCCCTTGCCCCAAGAGGAGACCTAGAATGGAACCCCCAAGCCATCCCTCCTCTGTACCTTGGGGGGCAGTGATGTTGGTATTATCCAGTGGGTTCACAATTCCTGGATAATCTTCCCCAAAAGACAGATGTCGAATGTAGTGAGTCATGTTGATCTGGAGATATCAACATAATGTTCTGATCACCCAAGGGGGTGGTCCCAAATCAGAGAAGACCAATGGCATCACAGAGAGAGTTACAGGGGCCTCAAACCCATACACAGTAGCCAGCCTCCCCACCACCCCACCCTGCTGGGGAGGGCTGGTGAAAGCTGATTGGTTCCATTTAATCCAATGAACTCAGGGATCTAGGATTCACAAGGATCAGCAACAAGGGTAGGGGGTGAGAGGATGAGGGTTCTTCTTCCCCCTTCCCAAGGGAGTCAGTCTTTAATGACCCTAAAAGCCCAGAGCCCTGGTCAGCCTCTGGGGAGGTGCTTTTCATCTAAGTTGAGTACCTACATTGTCTAGTCCAAAGCTCTGCAGGTCATGAACTAGGAAAAAAAGGAGACAGGTAAATGGGCATGATTAAGATCCTCAGGGGCTTCTTTCTGACTCTCCTCCCCAGGAGCATGGCCTTCCCATCCTGACTGGTAGCCACTTCATTCCCTAATCCATGATTTCCCAAACCCCTTTCCAGTAGGGATGGAGAAGAGGGAAGGCCTCTTCTTTGCACCCTACCTCTCAGAGAATGGGAATGTCAGACACCATTTCCTAAAATCACTTCAGCTGGGGTGAGGGTGCCCTTCTAAAGTGGAAGGCAAAGTTACTGAGAAAAGTCTTTCACATTCTAACTTCCTTTGTGGGAACACAAGTTCATAATTGGGCCAAATGACTGATAATAGGATCAAAGTGTTAGAAGGGGCCCGAAGATACCCTCCAAACTATTCCCTTGCTCTCAGAACCCTCCAGATGAACTTAACTGCTGTGAGGACTAGGTCCTTTCATAATTCTCCTGGCCCCAGTCTCTCATGTTGTAAATAAAGATCCCTGTATTAATCATATACACTTTTATCAACTGCTAAAGACTCAGTTCCATCTTAACCTCTGCCAAGAAAAGGTGCAGAACCCTCCAATCCCCAACTCCTGACAGCAGGACATGCTTAAGGCAAGTATGCTCTCACCCTGACGGGGAGGGAGGAGGGTTAAGAGTTTGGCCACTTACTCTCCACAGCATGGACTGCAGCATGGAGGGGAAAAGGGAGAGAAGAGAAAAGTGAGATCCAGAGTTTTATGATGACAATCTGAGAAACAGGTATGGCTTGTATGAGTGAGAACATCAGCCATTAAGGATTCTAGGTGCTCAATTCTGGGTCCTGAGCCCCACCTTCAGGTCCTAGAGCTGGGCAGAGGTGGTGATGGACAGCTTAGAAAGGACTCTGGACACCTTCAACCTGGCTCTCAGACTCATAAAGGGGCAAAACATGGAGTAGGTACCAGCTTAACTAGCTCCCGTCCCCTTTCAGATCCCAGCACCTTCCCATCCCAGCCAGATAGGCAACAATCCCATCTCCAGAGCTGGGGAGGGAGTAGGGAAACTCACTTCACTGAGATGTACTATACCATCCCCTGAATATGATAAACTCTGACTTTAGGACAGCCCCATACCCTTTTGTTTTGTTTCCCTAAAGACATCCTAACTCGGAAGACTGTCCTCCCCTCTCCTGGGTGCTGACTAACAAGGAGGTAATTAAGTTGCCTCCAGCTTAAGTTGTGGTGATGAATCTTTGGGACATTAGGCACGGGGAACTTAAACCAAGCTCCCTCTTCATACATTTTCTGGGATGCCTGGAGAAGCGACACCTGCAGAGACCAGGGCAGCTAGCTACAGGTCAACAACATTAACTGGCAAACTGTCCCCCTGCCCTGCCCCCAGGTGCTTTCAGGTGTCACAGTCCTAAGGCTAGGTCACTTCCAAAGGATTTTTCCCCAAGTAGAGTGGTAGAGTTGAGGGACAGTGGTTGAGAAAAACAGAGAAAAAACACAGGGGCAGCTACGTGGCTCAGTGGATAGAGCACTGGCCTTGGAGTCAGGAGGACCTGAGTTCAAATCCAGCCTCAGACACCTAACACTCACTAGCTGTGTGACTCTGGGCAAGTCACTTAACCCCAACTGCCTCACCAAGAAAAGAGGGGGGGGGGAACACATAAGCAAAGCAGTGAAGCTGTTTATGTTCACAAAGTATGTGTATGTGTATGGGGGTGAGGGTAGGATTGTTGTAGAGGGGGAGATTAGAAGTAGGGAGCAGGATTTTGGGAGGAGTAGGGAGAGCCTCTTACAGTAAATACCTAAGTGTATTTTCTGAGATTAGTCTTCACTTACCATGCACATGTGATTGCTGGAAACTCTTCCCAGGTGCAAAGTGAAAGTTCCCGGCCACCTACAACAAACATTTCCGGGTTCCATTCCTTCAGAACTACTGCTCTTCCCCATCTCTGTCAATGGGACCACCATCTTCCCTATCATCTCGGCCATCTTTGACTCCTCCTCCCTTTCTCACATCTGGTCACTAATTCTAAGTAACAGCACTTCCAAGATTTCACTCACATCCATTCCTTGCCCCACTCATATAACATCTAGTTTGGTCAAAATGTAGAGCAGACCTGCACAACCTGGCGGTAGGTAGGAGCCAAAATTAAAATAGGCTAAACTTCTTTGGGGAGCAGATAGGTTAGACCAGAGACAGAACTGAGGATGGTTGGCTGCCGTGGGTCACATGACAAACAGGAGAGTGTGCAGTGGAAACCCCAAATTTTCCAGAGGCCACCCAAAATCCTTTGGCAGGCCACATGTGGTTGTGCAGGCCTGGTGTAGAATGTGGGGAGGAGGAGAGTAGTAGCAGATCGTATAGGTCCTGAATGCTAAGAAATGGAATATGAACTTTACCCAATGGCGAATGATGGGCCACAGGATGTTACTGAACAGAGGGATAATGTGATCAGATGATCCTCTTCCACATATTTTATATTCTGGTAAAAGTGGACTGATCTCTAAATAATAAATGATTGTCAAATTGAATTGCCTCTAACAAATCAAGTTCAAACTCTATAAACTGGCATTCAAGTCTTTATAGTGAGGTACCAAGTTACATTTTCAGCTATCTCCCAATACTCTCTTCTTTTATACAATCTATACTCTAGCCAAATGTACTACTTACAGATAACCCAAACACATCAGTTAATTTCCTGCCTCCATGAATTACTTATATTTTCCTCTTTTCCCAGAATGCATCTTTTCTCCCATATCTCCATCATTTCTCAAGGCCCACTCAAATACCTTCTCCTCCATGAAACCTTCCCTTCTATGGCACTCTAACTCTACTCTTTACTACATTTATTGGTGTCCCTGCTTAATCCTACAGCCTAAACTGAGGGATCCTTAAGGGCAGAAACTTAAGTCTTATTAAGTCTTTCCTGATCACACAATAGGTGATCAGGAAACATCTGTTAAGCAGCTTCAGGCAGAAGGACTGTTCCCTTTTGAGGGTGCCGTGCCTAGCTTTCCCAGGTGGAAATTTTCCACACCTAAGGAGGTTTAATCAGACCTCATCCCAGAGCTTTCTCCTCTTTCTTTCTGGCTCTATGACATGGCCTGGTCCTGACCTTGTTGACTTCTAGGAAGCCATACACCTGGCAGCCTTCATTCTTCTGTTCTTGCATCTTTTGGCTGAAGCCTTCACGTCGACACTGCTCAATGGTGTCTGGGTTCTTGAAGGCCCAACCTCTCCGTCGGTATGCCTCCCGCACATCTTCACATGTGTTACAGCACCTAGAAGGGAGGGACAGGGATGGTAGAATCCAGCTCAGTGTAGAGCAGAGAGGTGAGTGGACCCATCTCTGGGCTCACAGAAATGCAGCAAAGCCCTGGCCCAAGCTCACCTGTGTGGGTGACACTCACTTGCTATCCTCAGACTCGGCACCATAGCAGCTTTCACAGCGCTCAGGATCCAAGGAGCTGGGGTCAAACACCTTTTCCTCCTCTTTCCCCAGCTCTGAGGGTAAGCAGAGCCCAAGGCATTAGCCAGGAATAGAGGCAGGCCCAGGTGACAGACAAGATAGACTCAGCTGCCACAAAGCAGGCATTTGACAGGAGCATGGACAGGGCAGGGAATCAATGGCAGGAGCTTTCTAAAGGGCACTAAATATTCCAAGAGCTTTAATCCCAACCACAGGAAGCCCAGAGAGGCAACAGGCAGCCAGATCCCAAATGACATCCTTGAAAATGAGAGATAAGGGCTAGAAGAGCTATGGAGACTAGAGCCGGGCTGGGAAGCAAGAGGATAGTGTGGAATAGTGGAAAGACCACTGCAGAAGGAAGCAGAACAGGGATTCTAGTTCCACTCAAATTACTAACTAGCTTTGTGAACTTGGCCCTAAATCACTTAATTTTTCTGGGCCTTGGATGCCTTATCCATAAAATGCCTTGTTCAGAGGCAAGGGATTAAACCATGTGACCTCATGAATACCCTTTCAGCTCTAGAATCTGATTTTGTGATTTCACACCCACTCCAAAGAGAGGGCCCTAGCCTGAAAAGGGATTCCCAGGGGCTGACTGGGCCTGTCTGTCCTGGTTACCATGACGTTCAGCTTCTGTGGTTACAGGGTGACCATCTTTGTCCAAACGCTGTTTGTATAGGTTGTGTTCCACGTCCAACTGCTGCTCCCCAGCCACATCCATGGCATCAATACTCAGATCTAGAACCAGGATGTTTAGATCTAAGACTAGCCCTATGCCCCCAGTGTCTGGGCCTACTTGCGAAGACAGTGAGATGGATAGGGCACTGATGCTGCATCCTCATCTTCCTTTGCCTTTCCCCCAAAACATTTTTCTCAGCATGCAAAGAAAACACCTCAAAATCTCTATCAGCATGAGAGTGGGAGAGGAAAAAAGCCCTGTTTATCTTTACCAGTGGATTTAGGGCGGGGTTGGAAGTTCGGGAGAAGTTGGGATCATCAAGTACTTACAGGCACAGGGCATATGTGGGAAGAAAATATCAATGTTAATCTTCAGTTTGTCGCCCCTGGACTTGTCAACATAGAGTTCAGGATGAACCTATGGGTGAGGGCAGCTGCCTCAGTTCCAAGGCAGCCACCATCAATCCTCTCCTAGACTCCCTCCACCCCAAAGCACACCTTTTTTTAAGTCTCTTCCCACATCAACCTCCTCTCCTTTTCACAAAGAACTCCTCAGTTCCAAGCAACACTCAAATTATTTATAAATTCCCTTGGTCTCCTCCCACTTTCAAAAACACTCAGCTAAGAGGTAACCACCACAGGCCTTGGCTTGTACCTCTCCAAGCTGATGCTGCAGTTCTTCCTCTGTCCCCCCAACAAGTGAAGTCCCCCCTTCCCCTCAGCACTCCACCCATATTCCCTGGCATCACCTCTCCCCACCCACACCCCCTTAGTACAGCCACCTACCTGCTATACCTCATTGTGCTCATTACTCTCCTGAGCTTTCAGCCCAACTGATCTCCCACTGTTCCTTGTCCTCATTCCACTCAGTGCTCCCTTCCTTATGACAACGATCTCCTCTGTGTCCTCTTCTCTTTTCTCCTGACTTAGTGCTCCCTTTAATAGTATACTTCCCATCCAATTCCCCTCAATCTTTCCTTGCAGTAGCCTGCTCCTTCCCCTAGGAAGCCTTCCCCTTTCCTGCAGCAGCCCCTCCCCACCCTCACTCTCCAGCACCCCTAGGGTTGACACTGCCACAGAGTCTCCCAGTGCCCTGCCCTCTATGCCACAGAGCTCCCCTGGTGGCCTCCTTCTCCCAGTACTCTCTCTTTTCTTGCCCCAGAGTGCCTCCTCCTTCCATCTTGGTCCCATAGCAGGCCCCGGAGGTTCCACTGTTTCTGCATATTGCACTCCTCCCCCTTCTCCCTCAACTGGCTCCTGGAGAACCCCCTCGCCATTATCCCACAGCCCTCTGGAGGCTCCACTTCCTCCCAGGGCATCCCCTCGTCCTCTTGCCCCATAGGAACCTCCCAATTCATCGTACTGAACTCCCCCTTTCCCTTGCCCCATAGAGCTCCCTGGGGGCCCCAATTCATCACACCGAACCTCATCTTCCTCTTGCCCCACAGCACGCCCTGTGGACCCTACCGTCCCCCGGGACACCCCCCCCCCCCCCCGCTGTTGCCCCACAGCGCCCCCTGGGGGCCCTCACTTCACCACCACACTCGGCGCTCTCTGATTACGTCTCCTTCCCCCCCCCCCACCGCCCAGAGCACCCCTAGCGGTGGCCCCGGAAACTCACCTCGGCCGTAAGGTAATACTGCAGTTCAGACAGGAAAAGCACGAGCATTAGGAGACCGCTGATGATGGTCACTACAGGCACCAGGGGTCAGAGGTCAGCAAGACCCTCTCCCTCCGTACGTGGCTCATCTTCCATAACCAACCCAGGCCACCACAAGGCCTCATGTCGGGGCGGGGACAAGAGGGCAAGGGGAGGGCCTCGGGAAGAACAACCCCCCCCAACCTCGCCTTGACCCCTGCCCCTACTCCCTTTCCCTACCTGTGGCCCCGCCGCATGTCTTGACCCGGAAGTCTTCCAGGGTCTTTGGGTAGGCATCGAACTGCTTCAGCTTCCCCAACGCGTCCATGGGGACCTGCCGGAAAAGGGAAAATCAAGGGACCTGCCCACAGCCGCTCACTTCCGGGGCTGGATCCCGCCCCCGCTTCACTCTGTAGCTGAGCTTGCACGCATGCGTGGCGCTGAGGCTAGTGGCTCCGCCCCTCAGCCAATTATCCTGGGCGGTTTTCTCCGTGCGCAGGCGCAGAATGGCAGCAGCGGGTCTCGTCAGGGCCTCTGTACATATGTGTTGGAGGGCGTCCCAGAGGCTTTTGGCCCAACCCAACCCTGAACGAGAATTCCCGCTGCGACACGTGGCACTCAGCCTTTGTTCGAAGACCTCCAGTAATAGGGAACCTGCTGTCTCCCAAGGGCGCATTTAATTTTTGGAGCGCTCTAATTATTAGAGTTTTTCCTGACATCGAGCCTAAATATATCTCTTTGCAGCCTCCACCCTTTGCTCCTGCCTCTGTACCCTGGGGTCAAGCAGAACTGATCTAAGTCTATCAAAGTCAGTCAGTCCTGGTTCTGCTCACTTCACTCATCATCATACCATACAAGTTTTTCCAGGTTTTTCTGAAGTCGGCCTGCTCGTCATTTGTTATAGCACGATAGTATTCTATTACATTCATAGACTACAACTTGTTCAGCTATTCCCCAATTGATGGGCATCCTCTCAATTTCCAATTCTTTGCCACCGCAGGAAGAGCTACTATAAATATTTTTGTACATGTGGGTTCTTGTCCCATTTGTATGATCTCTTTGGGATACAGCTCTAGAAGGGCTTTCGTTGGGTCAAAGGCTATGTACATTTTTATAGCCCTTTGAGAATAGTTCGAGATTGCTCTCCAAAATGGTTGGATCAACTCACAACTCCACCAGCAATGGTTATTGTTCCAATTTTCCCACATCTCCAACATTTATCATTGTCCCGTTTTTATCATGTTAGCCAATCTAATAGGTATGATATGGTACCTCAGAGTCATTTCGATTTGCATTTCTCTACTCAACAGTGATTTAGAGCATTTTTTCATGTGACTATAGATAACTTTAATTTCTTCCTCTGAAAACTACCTGTTCATATCCTTTGACCATTTATCAATTGGAAAATGACTTGTATTCTTATAAATTTGATTCAATTCTCTATATATATTTTAGAAATGAGGCATTTATCAGAGACACTAGTTGTAAAAATTCTTTCCCAGTTTTCTGTTTGCCTCCTAATCTTGGTTGCATTGGCTTTGTACAAAAATTTTTTCAATTTAATTTATCCATTTTCTATTTCATAATGCTTTCTATCTCTTGTTTGGTCATAAATTCTTCCCTTCTCTATAAATCTAATAGGTAAACTATTCTTTGCTCTCCTAGTTTGCTTATAGTATCAGTCTTTATATCTAAATCATGTACCCATTTTGACTTTATCTTGTTATAGGGTGTAAGATGTTGGTCTATGCCTAGTTTCTGCTATACTATTTTCCAGTTTTCCCAGCAGTTTTTGTCAAATAGTGAGTTATTCCAGAAGCTGGAGTCTTTGGATTTATCAAATAGTAGATTACTATGGGTCATTAACTGTTGTATCTTGTATACTCAACCTGTTCCACTGATCCACTAACTCTATTTCTTAGCCAGTACCAAGTAGTTTTGATAATTGCTACTTTATAATACAGTTTAAAATCTGGTACAGCTATGCTACCTTCTCCAGCATTTCTTTTCATTAGTTTCTTTGATATTCTGGACCTTTTGTTCTTCCAGATGAATTTTGTTATTGTTTTTTCTAGTTCTATAAAATAATTTTTTGGTAGTTTGATTGGTATGACACTGAATAGGTAAATTGATTTAGGTAGAACTGTCATTTTTAAGGGGCAGCCAGGTGGCACAGTGGATAGAGCATCAGCCCTGAAGTCAGGAGGACCTGAGTTCAAATCCAGCCTCAGATCAAACAGTTAACACTTACTAGTTGTGTGACCCTGGGCAAGTCACTTAACCCCAATTGCCTAAAAAAAAAAAGTTGTCATTTTTATTATATTAGCTTGGCCTACCTATGAGCAACTGATGTTCTTCCAGTTATCTAGATCTGACTTTTATTTGTGTGAAAAGTGTTTTGTAATTGTATTCATATAGTTCCTGAGTTTGTTTTTGCAGGTTGACTCCCAAATATTTTATAATGTCTGCATTAAGTTTAAATGGAATTTCTCTTTCTATCTCTTGCTGTTGGGCTTTGTTGGTATATAGAAATGCTGATGGTTTGTGTTGGTTTATTTTATATCCTGCAACTTTGCTAAATTTGTTTATTATTTCAAGTAATTTTTTACTTGATTCTCTAAGTATACCATCATCTGCAAAGTGATAGCTGAGTTTCTTCTTTGCCTATTCTAATTCCTTCAATTTCTTTTTCTTCTGTAATTCCTAAAGCTAACATTTCTAGTATATTGAATAACAGTGGTGATAATGGAAATCCTTATTTCACCCCTGATGTTACTGGAAATGCTTCTAGCTTGTACCCATTACATATAATGCTTGCTGATGGTTTTAGATAGATGCTTCCTGTGAGATCATAGAATCTTTAAAGTGAATAGTGTCCACTAGGAGACCAGGGCTTACCCATCACAGACATCTTACTATCTGATCTGGTCAACCAGATCATCATCAGTGTGATAGTGGACATCAATGGCTTTAGGAAGTGGACCCTCTTTTAAGGGTCTTTTCCTACCAGAAGGTGGCAATACCGACGAGAATTCAGATAGCCCTGGGGAATATAGCAAAGGTAAAATGGGCCTCTTCCCAGGTGGAAACAAAATGTTTTTGAATAGTCTCAGCCACAAGAATAGACAAAAAGACACTCGCAAGGTCAGAAACTCCATAAAACACACTTGGAACCTGGGATATCTGGTCTACCAAATTGTCAAGATCAGGAACAGCCTCAGTGATTAGTATAACTACTCTGTTAAACTCTCTGCAGTCCACTATAATGGAGACAAACCCAAGGTTTACTTACCACTGGGGCATTACCCGTTCTCATCTTCACTTCCATTGTGATTCCCTCTCCCTTATAGCCCTGACCTGAATGGGGTTCAACACACTTTTCAGTGAGACCTCTGGGTTGGAGACCATCCTTTTCAGCTGTGTCTTGTTGATTACTTGCATCATCTTATTGAGACAAGCATCACCTCTTCCACTCATGTAGTTACTAAGTCCATAAGCAAGTTTGCTTTCATAGCATTTTCTTTCAAAAACAAGAATTCTATGCCCAAAGGACAATCAAACCGTGCAAATCCTTTGATCTAGCAATACCACTACTATGTTTGTATCCCAAAGAGGAGATCATAAAAAAGGGAAAAGGACCTACATGTACAAAAACACAATTCTTTTTGGGGTGGCAAAGAATTGGAAATTGAGGGAATGCCTATCAAGTGGGCAATGGCTGAACAAGTTGTGGTTTATGAATGTAATGGAATACTATTGTGCTATAAGAAATGATGAGTAGGTGGATTTCAGAAAAACCTGAAAAGACTTATGTGAACTGATGCTGAGCAAAGCGAGCAGAACCAGGAGGAACATTGTACATGCAGTCAACTATGACAGACTTAGCTCTTCTCAGCAATATAATGATCCAAGACAATTACAAAAGACCCATGATGGAAAATGCTATCCACATCCAGAGAAATAACCATGGAGTCTGAATGCAGATCAAAGCATATTGTTTTCACTTTTTTTTTGTTTTTTCCTTTTGTTCTGTTTCTTCTTTCATGACATGACTGATGTGGAAATGTTTAATATGATTGCACACATATAACCTATATCAGATTGCTTGATGTCTTGGGAAGGGGAGAGGGAAAGGAGGGAGGGAGAAAAATTTGGAGCTTGAAAATCTTATACAAAATGAATGTTGAAAACTTTACATGTAACTGAAATCGTTACATGTAACTGAAAAAATAAAACACTGTTAAAAAAACAAGAGTTCTGTCTCAAGTTGGAGAAATTTCACATCATATCATGCAAATGTAAGGTGGAATAAGTGGGTGAGTAGCAAATAGTAACACTGGGAGAGTTAAAATAGTTTATTACGGCATAGTGAGGTATGGACAGATGAAGTCAGGATTGGTGGCCTAGAGGAGTAGTGGGATGTCAGTCAGTCTGTAAACATTTATTAATTCCCTGTTATGTGGAGCCATTGTGCTAAGCTCTGGGAATACAAAGAAAGGTAAAAGACAGCCCTTGCCCTCAAGGAGCTCACAGTCTAATGGGGGAAGCAGCATATAAATAAATATGTACAAATAAGTTGGAAATAATCAACAGAAGGATGGCACTAGAAATAAGTGGGATTAGGAAAGGCTTCCTGCAGAAAGTAGAAGGATTTTAGCTGAGACTTGAGGGAGGCCAGGAGGCAGAGAGGAGGAAGAGCATTCCACATCCACATATGGAAGACAGCCAGTGAAAATGCCTGGATTTGGGAGGAACAGCAAGGAGACCAGCGTCACTGGATTGCAGTGTACATGTAAGGTGTAAGAAGACTGATGGAGGGGGTAAGTAATGAAGGGTTTTGAAAACCAACGATTTTATATTTGATCCTAAAAGTTGTAGGGAGCCACTGGCGTTTATTGATGGGGTGTGTGAGACATGGTCATATTGGTGCTTTAGGAAGATCACCTTGGCAGCTGAATGGAGGATGGACAAGAGTGGAGACACTTGTGGCAGGGAGACTGACCAACAGGTTATTCCAACAGTGTAGAGGTAATGTGATGTCAGAGAAGGAGAGGGGGCATATGTGACAGAAGTTTCTAAGACAAAATCAACAGACCTTTGCAACAAATCGGACATGAGGGGTGATCTTTGTTCGAAGGCCCAGAGCTAGGAGGGGTCCAGGTTTGCATAGGATTTCCAGACAAAGGGGTGGCCATGGCAGCTGTCATGCTGCTGGTGGGGCATTGTCAGGGAGCATGGATCAACAGCAAAAGGTGGATATGTAAAAAATTAACCAGAAAGGCCTACTCAAGATGAAGAAAGTGGAATTATACCTATACCAACTTGCTGGGAAGTTTCAGCAGCCAGTTCTAACTAGAGCTGGGTACAACTTAAGCTTTTAGCATAGAGTTGTATA